ATCATTTTTTTTTTTTTTAAATTTTTGTAATTAACATCGTTTAAATCTAACCTAAAAGTAATTATTATTATTATTATTTAATTTTCCAATTTAAAATTATATACATGTATATTAAAATTTTTTTTTTTTTTTTTTTTTTGCTATTAATTGTTGTTAACGACCGAATAGAAGAACGAGAAACAAAATTTTAAAAAAAATTATAAGAATCATAATTATTTAATTAACATCAAGTAAATTTTTTTCGAAGGTTCTAATTTTCAATTAAAACGAATCATTATTATTATTATTTTTTTTTTTTTACTTACAAAAATCATTATTATATGATTAACATTGATTTTACAATAATAATATTTTATTTCGTTTTGATTCGTCTACGGTTTATTATTTTTTTTTTTTTTTAAAGTTTAAACGGAAATAATAAAAATCGAGAAACCATAAAAAAAAAAAAAAAAACTTTTGAGCTTTTGCAATTTTTTTTCTTTTTCTGTTTTATTTTAACTTTTGAAAAAGAAAGAAAAATAAATAAATAAGGAGAGGAAACATAAACGTTGCCATTGATCCGCCATTACTTGATTCATTAATAATAATATTATTTAAATTAATCCGTGAAAAAATTTTTTAAAAACACAAACTAAAAACCCTACGCCATTTTTCACCTATTATTATTATTATAAATACGTGTTAAATCGTGGATTTAAATTTTTTTATTTACAATCGACTACAGCCGTTTGTCCTTCGTCATAACAACCTTAACGGAACCTAATTATTAGTGGATTGGTAATTTTGTCACGAGTATTTTTCCTTTTGCGAGCCTAAAAAAAAAATTTTTTTTTTCGATTAATAATAATAGTGAAATTGTAATGCGTCGCGAGATCGACCTGATTGTTGTTGTTGTTGTTGTTGGAAATGAAAGTGAGAGCCTGGGCCTTTTTTTTCTAGGTATAAATGAGGAAAGGAGAGTAAATTAAATACTTTAGAAAGCTAATCTTTTCTAAATGATAAGAGAAATAATTGCGAATTAAATGTTTATGTCAAAAATTTGCAATAGAGTATATACACACCACTTTACCTTGAAATAACACCAGAATTAAAAAGGTATAATTATTATTATTATTATTATTATGTTCATAACAAAAACGTTCGCGTGTAAAAAAAAAAAAAAAAAAAAATTTATTATCCTACGTTTTTTTTTTTTTTTTACGACATTAAAGTAATCGATGATATTCACACGAGATTTGTGACAAGAAAATTTTCTTTTCCTTTTCCTTTATTCCTTTTCTAAAAAAAAAAAAGGAAAAAAATAATTTAAATGCAAATACTTTACACGTATTGACACATTATTTAGGACGAAAAAAAATTTTTTTTTTTTTTTCTTATTTTGTAGTTATTACAAAAAAATTTATAAACAGTTCATTGATCACATGAACACACTTGTTCCGTTTAAATTTTCAATTATTTTCGGTTTTATTTACTTTTTTCGGTTTAAAAAAAAAAAAAAAAAAAAAAAAAAAATTTATCTTTTATTTATTTAAGCCCTTAATATTTACTTATTGTACTGTTGATTGGCAATTGCCTTATTTACTCAATTTGTTCTCGTCTTTTTGTCGCTCAAGGCAAATTTGAAGGGAAAAAAAAAAAAAATGATTATTATTTAATTTCAATTTTTTTTTTCAAATGAATATCCTCGTCCTAAGTTCATTTATCATTTTTTTTTTTTTTTGCGAGGGGGGAGACGTAGAAAAAAACCTTTTCATCAACAGAATATAACCACCTGTTTTTTTTTTTTTTTTTAAATTAAATTTTTTATAGGAAGTTATGAAGGAATAAATAAGTTAAATTTGTACACACGTTACAAAAAAGATAAGAACGGAAATGAATTAAAAAACGGAAGGAAAACGACATTGACTATTTCGTCACTTTTTTCTTTTTTAAACATCCGTTTTTGCGTGGGATTTTTTGACCTCCCTACAACTTTGCCATACGTACGTTTCGTGACCCATTGTAAAATAATATTTTAAAAATTTTCTCTCTCTCTCTCTCTCTTTCTCTCTCTTGCGAGCCTTTTCTAAGTGAAAAAGGGGATAAAACACTCGAAATTCGATGAGGGTTTTTCACAAACAATGTCCGAAAAATTCAAATATTTTTTTCTTTTAGAAATTTTTTTCTAAGAATAAGAATGATTGATTTTAATATGAGCATGAAAGATAATAATAATAATAACAACGTTTTCCGGAAAAAAGGATTTCGGGGGTTTTCCCGACGAAAACTAATTTTTAAAAAAAATGTGTTAAATCCATCTGTGTAAATGTATCAATTATGGTACGACAGAACTTAAATAATAAATCACTTGTTGAAAACCTTTTTTAAATATTGAAACAAAAAAAAAAAAGGAAAAAGTTGACAAAAGAACATGAAATAAAGCGTGAAATTAAATTAAATTTTTTTGTTTCAAATTGTCATTTTAATTTTTAACGCTTAATTTTTCCAACAAAAAAAAAGGGATTCCTCTAAAAAAGGTTTTTTTTTTAGTTCTCCCTTATTTTGGAAATTGTGGAGGGTAAAAAATGGTCAGTTGATGTCATTTTTATTTTATGATGGTGAACCTTTTTATTTTTTTTTAAATTAAAAACGTTTTAAAACAATAAAACCAAAAATAATAGAATCGAATAAATATATAAATATAGGTCAGAAAATTCCCCCCCCCCTCGTGAATTATTAAAAAAAAATAATAATATTTTTTTAAAATTATTTTGATTTCTAGTTAAAAATTATGAATGAGTTTTATAATATTTGATAATTGACCTAAATTTATTTTTTTTTATAAATTTCCACGAGAATAAAATTCGTTTTTATTATTTAAAATAAATTTTTTTATTAATTTTTATAATATTTTTTTTTATATAATGAAATAATAAAAGTCGATCTTATTAATCAATATTTTTTTTTTTTTTTAATTATTACATGATTAAATATTATTTTTATAAATAAATAAAACCGGTGGTGGGGGTGGTGGTGGTGGTGATGGTATTATTTCAATTCCGACAATTAAAAAAAAATACAAAAGAAACGGGGGGGGGGGGGAAACAATTAAATGTATGTATATTGTGAAATGTTGAGAGAGAGAGAGAGAGGGAATCCTTTTATTGTTAAAAATTATTTTCATTATTATTATTATCATTGTTGTTGTTGTTATTGTTCATTCCTGAATAATTTCATGATACAATATATTATAAATAAAATTTTCCTCTTTTTTTTTATGCCAAAAAAGTTTTTATAAAATTTAAAGTTTAATTATTATTATTATTTTTTGTTATCGTTAAAGAAAGAGCGCGCCATATACTACTACAACTACTACTACTACTCAAATGTTTATTCATAAAAATTTTTTCATTGTTAAAATAAAGTTAAATATAAAAGTAAAAATAAGTTTAAAGTTTAATTAATTTTAAAAAAGAAAAATAAAATAAAAGTCGGATTAAGAATTTATTTTAAAAACGTTTTTTTTATTAAATATGGTTTGTTTTTTTTTTCTTTTTTTTTTCTTTTAATTTAAGAAAAATTAACCGGTTTTGGTTATGATTTAATAATTATATATATATTTTTTAAAATTTTATTCCTTTAATGTCTCTTCATACGCAGGCGTACCATTAATAATTAATTATTATTACATAATAAAAGTTTTTTTTAATCTTTATGAACGACTTTTCGACGTTATCATTTGTTTTTAGCATACAATTATTATTATTATTATTATTATTATTGTTTTGTTTTGTTTTAGAATTTAGAGGTTTGTGTGGACAATATCGAATCGGCCCTATCTGCTGTTCGAGGAGGTGCTCATAGAATCGAACTTTGTAGTGCTTTAGCCTTAGGTGGTCTCACCCCTTCGGTGGGCGTTTTTAAAACCATTAAAAAATTAATTACTACAAAATGTGATATTTTTATCATGATAAGACCTAAATATAACACGGATTTCGTTTACGATGATAATGATATTAATGCCATGGAAGAAGAAATAAAAATATTCGCAGAAATGGGTGCAAATGGTTTTGTTTTTGGATGTTTAACCCAAGATGGAACGATCGACGTTGAAAAATGTAAGAAACTTGTGGAAGTTGCAAATGGATTTCCCTGTACTTTTCATAGGGCTTTCGATATAGTTAAAAATCCAGAAGAATCATTAAAAATTATTATCAATTTGGGATTTTCCAGAGTATTAACTAGCGGCCAGAAAAATTCTGCCATTTCGGGAGTAACTTTAATTAAAAAACTTGTTGAAATTGTTAAAGAGTTGAAAAGTGACGTCATTATTATTGCCGGAGGCGGTATAAACTCGAATAATTTAAAAGATGTTTTATTAGAAACAGGAATAAATGAATTTCACGGATCAGCAGCATTTAAATATTTTAAAGAAAAAAATATTTTTTTGACTGACGAGTCTGAGGTTAAAAAAATGATTTTCATTTCTCAAAATGTTATAAAAGAGAGAGAAATTCATTTACGTTAAAAAAAAAAAAAAACGAACTTGGAATTTTCGCATGAATATTTTCCTCTTTTTAAAATTATCACAACAGTCAAATTAGATTCTATATAACATATTAAAAACTTTTATTATTTATAAGTTACGAGATTTAATATAACAGTCATATATATATATATATATATATATATATATATATATTCATTTATATACGTATAATTATATAAAATATAAATAAAAATTCAATATATATTAAAAATATAAATTTTTTTTTTCCCTGTACGTTTTCTACTACCAGACGTTGTTAAAATTACTTATTCAGAGACCCTTATTGTAATAAACAACGTCTGTTCCGCTTTTACCAATTTTTGACTGAAATAAAAAATCAATTTTAAATTAATCATTAAAAATAAAAAATAAAAGTAAAAAAAAAAAATAATAATAATAAAGGGGGAACCTTTAAATCATCTTCCAAATCGGAAACTTTTATTGATGCCCTTTGCTCGAAGAGTGCACAGCACATGGGAGTGGCAAATGTTAAACAAATACCACAAATTAAAACACTCAGAGGTGTCGAAGACCACGGATAACATTTAAATAATCCTTTTGCTTCTAATTTGTTCATAATGATCGGCGTAATGACTGAAAATTATAATTACAACATAAAATACATATACATAAAAGTTTTTCTTTTCTTTTTAACAAAGCGTCGGCATATATACATCTAACGAAAAAAACATGAAACGTATACGATACGATTGATGAGGCGTAAATAAATGCAAAGAAAAATAAAACAAAAAAAAGACAAAAAATGACTGATTGATTGATAAAAAATATTCAATCAATCATCTCATGATCAATACTTAAAATTCACTTTTAATTAAAAACTAAAAACAATTTATTATTATTATTATTAAATAAACGAGATGAAATTTTAGGAGAAATAAAAAAAAATATTAAGAAATTATTATTTTTAATATTATTAATAATGATGATAGTAGCATGTTGTCCGTTGAAAATGCACACATATCTAGTATAAAAGTTTTTAAAAAAACGATCGTGGATTTAAAATTAATTTTAATTGACTATAAAAACATGACAAAGAAATGTATATTACGAACAATTGTTTTATTATTATTATTATTATAAAAAAACTCAATTTTTCAATCGTTAAGCAAAAACATAAATAAATAACTCTAAGAAAATCAAGAAAGAAGTGAATTAATATTTACAAAACGATTAAAAAAAAAAAGAAATTAATGTACAAAAACAAAGAAAAACTAAATAAAATAAAGTTGATTGTTATTATTATTATTATTATTTTAACAAAAAAACAAAAATATTTTATATTTAAACTAGAGTGATTTTAAAAGATTTTGGGATTAAAACTCACCCATCCCGGGGGCGCATAAATCTCTACTGATGATTGTACTCCTTATAGCAACATAAGCAGCATTAACAGAAAATCCATATTTTGTTCCGTTCTCGTCAAAAACCAATATTCCGTTTTTCAATTCTCTAAAGTCAAATAAAAATAACTCTAATTTTCCCTTTTTTTATTTTTCAACTCGTTTTTAATTAAATCATATTATAGATATAAATAAATCGACATAAAAATCTTTTTTTTTTTGTGTACGTACCATTTTAATAATAATAAAAATTGTCATTTTTCTTTCTCGCGATTTATTTTGAATTCAAATTATTGGTTAGTCACACTAAAAAAGTCATTTTAATATTAAAAAAAGGTTATTTTAAAAAAAAAAAAATTTATGATAATAATAATATTGTTAGAAATTAGCTTTTGATTTTATTAAAAAGCTTATTTGGTTTTTTTTTGTGCTGCTTTAATACAAATAAAAACTTTTTGAAAAAAAATCACTTTAATAGAAACGTACACTAGAACAACAGAAAATCTTCGACATTCAACTTGGTATTTCTAAAACCAAGAAAGAGAGAGGCTTAAGTAATTACATTTCAAATCGACATGACAAGAAAACCCATCAAAAAGAAAAAAAAATAATAAGAAACAAAATAAAAAGGAATAAAGTTTGCTGCTGCGTTGAAATAAGTTATAATTTTAGGTTATTGATTTCCTTCCTTAACACGACCAGACATTTATTTAGATATGAGTTTAAAGAAAATTCGAACCATATTTAAATCAACTATACATATATACAATTGAAAAAAAAAACAAATAAATTTTTCAATGGTCGATGATATTTAAAATACTTGCGCGAGTACCTAAGAAAAAAAAACATTAAAAACAAAATGGTAACAAACTGAACGGTGAGCAAAACAAACGGACAACATACTAATGAAAAATTTTATAATTTAACAATGCCAAGTGAAAAAAATTATTAATGATAATTTTATACGTGACAATTAAAAGATGTGAAAATTAAATAGTGATCAACATTATTATTATTTTTTAACCAGCGGGTTTTTTGATATGGAATCTTTTTCGTGAATACACTTTGTGATAATAAAAAAAATGAAAAAATCCCCAAAATCCCAATAGTATTTAATAATAATAATAATAATTTTATTACCCATTCCAGGTGAAGCCATGGCAATTCTACTGAATGTTACCGCTGTGATTGCGGCTGTTGCTGCATTTTTAGATTCTCCTAACTTATTACCATTTTCATCAGTAATTGTAATTCCATTAACTAACTCCCTTTATTTAATAAAAAAAAAAAAAAACAAACAAACAAATCTGAAAAATTTGGTCAATGTGAATAGCATTGTTATTTATCAAACACATGCAAAAGAATTCATAACAATCACTTAATTCAATTTGAAATAAGTGATTTTGAAAAACAGTTTAAAATAAAAAGTCTCACTCACTGCATTCTCATCATTGGAATATTAATGCAATTAGCTGCAGCAACAGCAACAAATGGCACAATTCTGCCAACAAGAGGAGGAAATCTCTGAAATAATTTAATAAAAAATATTTAATATTAAGTTTTAAAATAAATTATTGTTGAATCATAAAAAAGTCAAAAACTACTTACAGCTGCCATTTTATTTAATGATAAGGCTGTAACAAGAGCTCCTCCTGTGGCTAAGCAGTAAGACTTTCCAATTTGCCTATCCATAAAAATCATATACATCAGTTTTAAAATTTTTAATTTTGTAAAAAAAAAAAAAAAAAAAAGTAAATAAGATGTATATCACAAAATAAAATTGATAAAAAATAAAACTTACTCGACAGAAATAGCTGCATCTCCACTTCTATTTGTATAGTTGACGAGAGCATTGAAACTTTGATTAACCCATTGCCAAAATATGACTGCAGAATTACTTTTGTAAAAATTCATCATGCATCCAGTGATAGCCATATTCATTGGAACCTGTGAAATGAAAAATTTTAAAACGGTGCCATTACAATCAATCATTCATAAACCAGGTTTCTGCTTCTAACAACTAATTTAACATGAATGTAATATATATATATATATAGTTATGAATAATTTTTAAACCTTATAAGTCTCAAATAAATAATTATGTAGGTAAAGAGAAGAAAACCTGAGCTGACATTCTTCCGATTATATTCATCAGTTCCCCAGTATCAGGATGATAAGCTGAATCGTAAATTTCTTTTGCTCTCCACAAATCAGCATCGGACAAATTTTTCAGTTCATCCCATCTTTTATTTCTGTAAAAGTAATTGAGACAATTAAACAAAGCTAATTTTTTTTTTTTTTTTCATAAAGAAATCATTTTTTTTAAAATCACTTACTTTGCCGCTGTGACAATCCTTTTGGATTCTTCCAATGTGGCTGTTGAATTTAATAAATTTAATGGATTGGTGATTGAAAAAAAGTGTTTAGCTCTTCCCCAGTAAGTGCTTTGATCATATCTGGGTTTTGTTATATCAATGTTCCTATTTGAATCCATCTAACTCAAATCAAATAATTGTTTTCATTTAAAATAAAAATAAAAATTTCATTGATAAAAATTTTTTGTTGGAATCGTAATGTGTAAAGTTCACAGTTCAAGGTAAGATAAGTGACAAAAATAAATTTTTTTTTTTTTTTTGGCATTTTTTCCCGTTAGAAATAAAATACATTATTATTGAAACAAACCACCGTAAAATATAATTTTAAAAAATTTAGATAAAGTATGATTTTTAGTTAAAAATTTATTTAATAATTTTTACTTTTAAAGTTGTATTATTGTAACTCCAAGTGGAAAAAAATTTATCCTTTACCATATATGTAAATAGCGCAGTTCTCTTTCTTCTTTATATTAATAATAATTATAATACTTAATATTACTATAACTAATTATTATTTTTAAAAATTTAATATTAAAATAAAAAAAAAAAAAACTTACGGCCAGAAGGAAAATAAACCAGATAAAAATCTGTGAGACACTAAATTAAATGTTATCGCTCAATATGTTTTACGTGACATACTTAAAAACGCAGGCAGGGAATTTTTTTTTAAAGAAAAATTCCCTGTTTTAACCGATAAATATTTAAATGTATGTAATTACGCGTTTAATTATAAATAATAATTTTTATTTTACTTTAAGATATTTGTTAAAGTTTATTTTATAATTTTGTCACTTGAAAAAAAGTTTTTCAACCAATTAAAATCTTACTTTTACTTGTATCGTAAAAATATTATACTGTGAAGTATATGTTAAAACATAAACTAAATAAATTTTTATTTCAACAAAAATTTGATAGTAATTCGTGTTTTTTTTTCGACATTATTAATATAATAATGCTACGCAAAACTCCCACTGAATATCTTTCGTGAATATAGAATGAATGGATTAATTGTGGTGTCATCACAATTATGTATTACCAACAATTACACACAGACAAAACTGATTCTACAGACTACGAACTAAATGTAACGTAATCACGAGAAATTCCCCCCGAAAATGGTATAAATGAATAAAAGTTTTCGTTCCTTTGGGGTAAAACACCAGATACCCAAAAAAAGCGGGAAAAGGCTGACATATAGAATCCAAATACAAATGAAACGATTCTTGTCCTGTCCACGACATATTCACTAAACGTAAATTTGAAAAAGATTTTCAATAATTTAAAAAAAGAAATTGTACAGGAAATGGTATTATGTGAAATGGCTCTCATTTTCTTTTTTTGGAAAATTTTATAAAAAGCTCCACCGGTATTCTTAAGGAATCGGGTAGAAACCTGAAATAAATGGTGAAAAATTCCAATAAGTACATAATGAAACTCACCAAGAGTTAAAATAATAATAATGATTTTTTTTAAGGATTAGAATGTAATTTTTATTTTTGTTGTTTTAAAATAATTAAAAAAAAAAAAAACTTGACGTGTACTTAGTTTATTTGTTAGCAAACATTTATTATTTTATTAATCTCCAGAGATTGAACAAAATAATTTAATAAAAAAAATGAAATAAAAACATATGTAAATATTGAGAAACATGCCAAAATCAACGTTTTAAATAACATTATTTACATACCGTATTCATTTAAACCCTATTTTAATTGAACACATCCTCTCAAAAATATCTACAGTGCCAGCACTGCAGTTTCTTTAAAAACATTTTCAGTTTTTTTGCAGATTTTTTTTTTTTTTTTTTTTAAATAAAAAAATAAATATATTTATTCATTTATTGTAAAGATTGTTTTACTTAAAACAAAAATAAATTATTTAAGAAGTAAGATTTTTTTTTTTTTTTTAACCTACAATATTTCATTTTTAATTTAAATTTTAGTTAAGTTAATTAAAAATGAAATTAAATAATTTTGTCATCGGTAATAATTTATCTCAACTAAACTAGATATCTACTCTTACAAAAAAAAAAAAAAAAAACTATTCAGAATATACATATTTCACATTTAAAAAAAAATGATTTTTAATATCTTGTAATACAATAATTATAATAATAATTTAGTGCAATATCGGTCTAATATTGCGTAATTTTATGTTAATATTGAAAAAGCAACCAAATTATTCATATTCACATCTAATAGCAAGTTAATATCAAAAAAAACTTTTTTCCCTTTTTTTTTTTTTTAAATAGAATATCATAAGACAAACGTATGTAAAAAAAAAAATATTTTCTAAAATAAACGTTTTCAAATGCGTTACTTCCTAATAATTTTCGTTCGTAACGCAAAAATTTAAATAATATCAATTATTATATAATTATTTAATGAGTGAATATTTTCCCCCATATCTGTTCCGATGAAAAAAAAAAAATTAATCGAAAAATAATTTTAGCCTCGACTTTTTTTTTCTTATATTTTCATTTCTTTTCTTTTCTTCTTTTTTTAATAAAAAGAAAATAAAAATCACGGTAGTAAATATCTTATTAATATAGGAGGGAGAGAGAGAGAGAGAAAGAAAAAAAAAATTCAAAATCTTTGAGGTGTGTGTGTGTGTATATATATACATATATATATATATAGTAGGTATATGACATTAATATGGCCGGGAAATATATATATATAATCTTACTTCTTTTAGAAGCTCTGCAAAATAACTGAGAAGTTTTCTTCTTTCCAAAGCTACAGTAATAAAATACACTATTCTTAATTAATTTAATAAAAACTTCTGAATTCCTCGAAAATTTAAAATAAATTTTTTTTTTTTTTTCTTTTACTCAAAAACTTCTGTTCCAGATATAATGGATGGTCTCCATTCTGATTTTTCAAAAATAGTAGTCCTTTCGTGGTTTTCCTGTGGTAAAGTCTTTTCGTTACATTTACATTTTCCTACTGAATCATTTTCTAATGATTCCGGTATTGCATTACTCCAACAACCTGGATCGAAATTAGTTAGAGTGCAACTTCCAGACAATACGTTTTCCATTTCTTGATTTTGTTCTAACGGTTTTATAGGCTCGAGGTTAACTTCTGATAAAAGTAAAACGGGCCTTAACTTAGATGAAATTTGTCGGTCTGACACTAGAACGGTCGGTGTTATTGATTTATTGCTACACTTCACTTCGAATTTTTGACGGGTTAAAATGTACTTGAAAAGTTCATACACAGACCAACAAATTGCCGTTGAAGGCACCTGATAAACGACTCGGGGATACAACCCTTTCCAAAAACCCCAAATTCCACTAACTCTGTACACGGTGTTGATTCCAGCGAGCATTCCTTTCACTTTATGCTGTTGAGTGTTAAGCAAAGTTTTAACGACATCTAAAGGTGTTGTCAGAGCTGCTGCCACTGCCCCTTTATCAAAATACAAAAAAAAAAAAAAATTAAATTTAAAGTCAGAGAGTATACATCTATTTGTTGTCAAATCGATGACCGAGTAAAAATTGATTTATTAAAAATAAAATTATGAGTAAATAATAAATGAAAACTTGTTTTTACCTGCAACCGCCCCACTTATTACGTGAGCCATCGGGTTATAAACCCGCTCTTTATTTGTTAAACTTTGACATCTTTCGTAAGTCATAAAATGAACTATCTGAAAAGGTATATTCATTGCCAATTGTGTGGTATACGACCTGTAGAATGCCCTGATTCCTTCTGCTTTATAAACGCGACTAACACAATCCAAAATTGATTTGTAAGGGCTGTTGTACATTTGTAATCTCTGTTTTACAACTGGAAATATTACATTCGATTACGATTATTATATATCGTTTAAAATTTTAAAAAATTTATTTAAATTCTACCTTCAGTAGGAGTCATTACTCCGTCGTGAAAAAGTGTCGCTATCATCCCTGAAATTCCGGCAGCTGTAATTATAATAATAGATAATTATTATTATTATTATTACTAAAAAAAAAAATTCAAACGCTTATGAGAAATATTCAAATTTAATCAAATACATTTTTCCTTTTTTCTAAGTCAATATAAAATTACGTAGACAAAAGGTATATAAAAAAAAAATCATAATTAAATAACAAACATACCGACATAAGATGGTTTACTGCTGGATTCTTGTAGTTGATCTTTAAGATGTTCATAAATTGAAAAATACATGGCATGGGCTGGACCAGCTCCAGCCACCACTACACTCATACCTGAAAAAGAAACGTGCTACACAAAATGATTTTAACCTTGTTACGCATGAAAATGTGCCATTTTCAAAAGTTTTTTTTTTTTTTTTTTTTTTTACGTACCCAAAAACCTGTAGGCATATATAAATTAAAAGTACTCAGAATTTTTGTTTTTTTTTTTTTTTTTTTTTTTTTACAAACATATTTTAATTGATATTTTTGAGGGAAATCATTTTTATTTTGAAGAAAATATAAATTATAAAAAATTCTCTCTCTCTCTCTCTCTCTTTTTCTTTTTAAATAATACAGTAAAAAAAAAAGAAAAAAAAACCATTTAAATGTAATTTAATTAATTAATATTTAGCTTTTATATTTAAGCAACAAACTTTATGATCGTCGTTAAAAATAATTTTAATTCAATTTATTTTAAGAAAATTCGAAATGACGATATTATTCGTGTAATATATACATATATATATAGTCAATTTAAACCTCTTAGTTGCCTTTATATTAATTTTTAATTAAATTTTATATATAATATTATGTGTCATTTAACGCGCGTGATTTACTTTGCCATTAAAAACAAAAAAAATAAAAAAAATAGAAAAAAACCGAATGGCAAATCTACCTCTCTTTCTCTCTCTCTCTCTCTCTTTTTACGACATCTTTCGGGCTTATTGAAAGCTCGGCCAAGGATTCTAAATAAAAACAATCAAGTCGTTTATTCCGATTCGTTTTTCCTTCGTATCGTAGGACAAATAAAAAATAATCAATAAGTTTTATCAATAAATATTTTACATCATTTTAAAATTTGTAAAACGCATCTATCGATGAACATTCTTTTTAAATTTACCAAAATAGTTAAACCAATTAAATGCACACACGCACTCACACACGCGTAAATCTCAATTGAAAGAAAGAAAAAAAAAAAAAAAAATTTATTAACCGATGATGATTGTGTAGATTTTTGAAGCACAAAAAATGAAAATTATTGTTAAATAATAAATGAAAAAAAAAAAAAAAAAAAAAAAAAAAAACAATACCATTATTATTAGGTTGTTAATTTAAAGAAGTACTTATTTTGCCTTTCACTGCCATTAAATAGTATATTATTATGGGGATCAATATCATTACAAATAATTTATTTATTTATTCACTTTTTCGTTCTCTTTAAAAATAACAACAAAATATTAAGTCAATAAAATTTATGACTTCTTATAAAATCGAATAAGTTAATTTACCAGTTAAAAAAAATGGTGATTGCACTTAATGAGCATGACTTAAATACTCTAAAGTTCAAAAATAGCTTTTCAATGAAGATATTCAATATTATTTATATTTATTTTATATTTAGTCTCATATTATTTGTAAATTTTTAATAGACAATAATGAAATTTATAAACCATCTAAATTTCAGTAATATTCTCTTTTTTCTTTTACCGAATTTCAATTAATAACACTAATAATTTGCTTCTTATCGCTCACTCACTCTCTCATGCACATACAAAAAAAAAACCGTTTTCTTTTAACATATTTTTAATTTTTTGCCTTCTTTGAAGCTCATCTTTATTATTTTAAATTTTACTATTATTTAACAAGGAGAAAATGTAAATTTACCTCTGAAAAGCCTAAACATTCCTTCCTGCCTCACGACCAATGTTAATCCTTGCAAAGGATTACTGTAATTTACTTGAGGAGATAAACTTTGCATTCTAGTCTGCAAAAGAAAAATTAACACAATTGTATAATGTGAATAGAGAGACAATATTAATGTTACAAAAGTAGTTAAAGAAGAAAAAAAAAAATTATTAAATAACTGTAGAACTGTGATAATCTAGGAATATACTCCAAAGTGTCTATATATATATATATATATACATGTATCTGCATATAAACATGAGACACTGTGTTTGTTTGTGTTTGTGTTTCTGTTTGCAAAAAGTAAATGCATGCATTCAATTTTAAAAATATTTATTTTATTTTTTCTTCAATTATAATTCCTGGAAAATTGAAATGAATGGCAAACTATAAAAACGTAAAACGTTTAATTTGTTTTAGGGTCGCTTTAAGAAAAATTAAATCGACGAACGAAAAATCGCGACATCGCTGTAATGAGAAAAATAAGAAAAAAGAAAAAAATTTTCACATTGCCATGACGGAACAATTTTAAAGAACCCGATCGAAAATTATGAAAATTAGGAATCCAAACGGTCTTAGTTTTCTCCAGGCCGACGATTTTCAAACTGACAAGACCTGTGCTAAACAAAAAATATGATTTTACCTTAACTGAATCGAAAGGATACATAACGCAATGCTCCAGAACACCCGCAATAGCTCCTGCTGTCATATGGACTGCAAAATTTTTCGTAGGAAGCGATTCATATTCGTCAAAGTCCATAATAATTAATTTTGAAATATTTATTAACTTACACTGGTTTACAATTTACAGAACGGGTCACGTAAAAAAACAAATGCGGCAGAATTTAAAATTTAAAAACTATTCGGTCAATTTTCAGGTGAGCTATAAACGTTTTCTCGCTAGCCGACGACAATTGCGATCAAAACATCTCGCGATAAAACGCGCGTCTCGCACTCAGTGAGATTGATGAAATTTTAGAAACAATTTTTTCATGCGTTTTACAGCAAGAATTTATTTTCGAATTCAATTAATATCTCACGGCGTTTACGTTTTTAAGGAAAAATGGCGACTGTTTTGCTGTGGTGAAAAATTTATTGTTGATTTTTTTCATCGTTCGGGCCTTCGATTTCTTTTCGCGCGGTAAACATTTAGAATTTCTGTTTTGCGAGAACTGTGCTTTCCGAAATACGCACGGTTCAATGCTCTAGTATGAATTTTTACGGTTGTCGTCATTTTTTTGTGCTTTCGTTTACACATTAGTCAATAAATTTAATCGCCCATGGCGGCCAGTGTAATTGGCATAGGACCTTCTTGGTTGTACAGAAGGCAAATGGGCATGAAAAATTGTCTCGGTACCAAAAATCACATATACGAACAAATGTATTCAAATATACTTCCTTACGGAAGCTGGGACCACACTTTTAATAATACTTACACTAGCGTACACGGTGGTGTTTTCTGTTTGGAATTTTCACCGGAAGGTTCTCTATTAGTGGCAGCCTGCGAAAAACGAAGCGTGCTGTTGTTCGATCCCCTTACCCACAAGAGAATCAACACAGTAGAAAATGCTCATTTGGATTGCGTGAACTGTATAAGGTTTTTAGATTCGAGATCGTTCGCGACTTGCAGTGATGATTTTACTGTCGCACTTTGGGATGCTAGAAACCTAAACAAAAAAGTGAGAACTTTGAAAGGTCATTCAAATTGGGTCAAAAATATTGAATATTCTCCACAAGATGGTCTGCTTGTAACATCTGGATTTGATGGAAGCATTTTAACTTGGGAAATGAATACATACAGAGAAGAGGGTGTTACATACAAAAAAATTTTTTCAACAAATGGTCTCATGAGAACAAGGTTGACCCCTGATGCATCTAAAATGATAATATGCACAACTGGAGGTTATTTAATAATAATACACAACTTGGATTTAAATTCAATGGGTCAAGATCTAGAAGGATTTAAAGTGAGCTATAGATTGTTCTAGATTTTTTTCATTAAAAATGATGTACTTCAATGGAAATCATTGATCTTTTTTTTTCTTCAGCCAAACATGTATCGTTTAATGCAACTAAGTCAAACAGTTCTTCCGATTGCATCAGATTTTACTCACTTGTTTCGAGGTCATGGAAAGCGAAATAGAGTAGAATTCATCACAGATTTTCCAGAAGGAGATGATGCAGAAGTTGTGTCTTCTCTTCAAATTCATCCAGAAGGTCATTTAGCCATTAGTAGAAATGTTAGCAACAATGAAAAGTCTGAGGTAACTGTAAACAAGAAAATGAATTCTTTTAATTGTATTTATTAATTTTAATGTTAATAAAGAATTTTCAAGGTTCTAATATTAGAGATTTGTTCAAAAATTAGTTAATTTCCTTTGTAAACTTTTGTTTATTGGTATTTTTGTTCATCTCAAAAAAAAATTTATATTTTTATATTATATATCACACCTTTTTATTGTATATAATTTATGTTATTTTTTGTTTTGGTTGACTTTAGTGGTCTTGTATTCACAACATAGAAGAAATAATGGGTTCAGATGAATCAGAATATGGAGATGAGGAAGATGAAATTGATGTATGCAGACCAATGGATTGGGCAGGTTCAACTGAATCAATATCAACAACTCCAAGCTATATTATTCAGCATTCAACAGTACGGGTAAAATTTTACAAATTTAAAAATTCTTTTTTTTTTTATTTTTTTGTTAAATATAAATAATAATTTGATCCGCATTTTCTCTTCACATCGTAATGTTTAAAAAATTCAATAAAATCTTAATCATTTTTTTAATTAAGAATGAAAGACCAGGAAATACTGAAAGAGAAGTTTCCGAACATCGAGACTTACCTGTATCGGCTTCTGACGTTTGGGAAGCACTTGTTGCTATACAAGAAGCAAGAATCAGACGGGAGACCGATCGATTGGCTTCAGAAATGTCAGTTGGTCAAATGTTCAGACGTCAGGCGATGGACACAGATATTCAATCTAGGTAGACCATAACTTATTATTCAAATGTTTAATAAAGTAGTATGAAACTTTTTTCAATTATTTTATTTTGTAGATCGGTTATTTTTAATAATCGAATATTCGTAACTAGAGTTTTACCTGGTTTAAATCATACAAATAATAGTAATGGAGAGTCCACTCAAGGATCCGTAGAATCATCTTCTGATGTCCATAATACCACACTTCGAAGTTTGAGTGTTTTAAAATCTAAAAATAATAATTATCGTAAATACCGTTCTTCAACATTTTTCGGATCTTGTAGGATGAATTCAGAAAGGAAAATACTTGCTAGACAGCGATACACATCTCTTTACCGACGATCTCTTGTTGGTCAGTACGATCGAACTTCAATTTATCGAAAACCAATTTATAATAGAAGAAAAATAAAATTGAAAAAATTGAAACCTAGCGTTAAATTAAATACAAGCTACGAAATAAACGAAACACGTAGATTGCAAGGTGAATCAGAAAATGAAAGGCTGTTAGTAACTCGTGATTCAAGAGGGGAAGCTTCTTGTTCTAAAACTTTTAGTTCCGAAACTAATAAAAATTTATCCAAGTGTCTAAATTTAAATTTTAAAAATATTACACCGGAACTAAATTCAAATGATAGTTTTTTGCAAGAAACTTTACCCACAGTGAATGATTCCCCTAATTGTCCAAGAAATGATTTAAATGTGATCGAAGATAACGAAAACACTAATCGTGTCATTAGTAATAATAGTAATAATAATAATAATAATGATAATAATTTAAATGGTGATCTAAACACTTCGTGCGAAGCAATAAAACGAGGAGAAAGTGCTATAACCGATGATGGAGATTTTAAAAAAGAAATTAAAAAAAGGAATATGTGTAGGAAAATTGATTACACCGAATCTTCACGTACGAATTTTGAAGGATCTGAATCACAATCATCAGAAGGAAATGATTTCAAAAATTTAGAAAATAACCATTCATCATCTTCGAGTGCGTCTCACCGAAATGAAACTTTGACGTCTTCTTCTCAACTTCCCGTAGAAACAACCGAATCCGCATCATCTAAAAAGAAAAAAACAATTTTAATGGGAGTATTTAAGGCTGGAAATGAAAATGGGATTAAAGGAACTAGCATGAGAAAACATAATGTAGCCACGTAAGAAATATCACAATGATATTTAATGAAAAAGTTAAGAGCCGAATAAAAATATTTGTGTTAATACAAGAATCATTTTAATATTGTTACAGGGTCACAGTATCCTCACCGACTTCAATAGCGACAAAATCTTCTTCGAGCAAAAATAATTTATCTCAAACCGAAGAGCAGAATCCAAAAGGAAATTTTCAATATAAATCAAGTAGAAATATAAATGATTGCACTCGTAGGAACGAAAATAGTTGTGTCGCCAAAAGAAATTGTACAAATGTTAAAACAGGAAACACCTGTAATGTTGGCACAAGTAAAGAGAAAAAAAATAATACATCGTCGTCGAGAAATTCTATTTTATCCTTAAATAAAAAAATACATTTAAATACAAGAAGACTGACACATTATGTTGAAGAGCCTAATTTGGGTAGAGGTAAGGGTAGTAATAACTTTGGGTAATTTGGGTAGTAATAATAACTCTCTCACAATTATCATTATTTTTAGGTTTTATTAAAGAACTCTGCGTTTCTCCTGACGGTAGAATAATATGCTCACCATTTGGAAACGGTATACGACTTTTGTCATTTTCAGCTACAGTCCAAGATGTCTTTCACTGTTATCCGCCTTCTCCTCCCATACCCCTACACGAGCTTACCCTAAATATAGCTCATACGGATATCGTAGTCAGTACTAAATTTAGTCCTTTTCATAATCTTTTGGTAAGTGGTTGTTTGTCGGGAAAGATAGTTTATTATCAACCGTTTTTTTAAACATTCCTTATTACAATTCAATTATTTAGTATAATTATTATTATTATTATTAAAAAAAAGTGGTAAAAATTGTGTGATTTTTAATAAAAATTATTAAATTACAATTTTTTAAATTTATTTATTTAAAAATTATATTTAATTATCGTTTAAAAGAAATTTTTGTTATGAAAAATATTTTTATCTAATTTACTCCTTAAAATTTAAATTATTATGGAAAATTTTTTAAATCTGTTTATCCCCTTGTTGAAAGGTTTAATTAAAAAAAAAAAAAGGTTAGTAAAATTAATAAAAGGTGTTATTACGAGCCAAGAAAATTTTAAATTTCTTATTTATTTTTTTTGGGTATACTTACTCACCTTCGAATTAATTACATCAAATAATTAGAAAAAAAAAAAAAAAACAATTTTAATAATTTCCTTTTGAAAACGCGGATCAGAAAATAAAAAAAAAAAATTCCACCGAATTGTAAATGACTCGATCCTTTCTTTTATTTTTATTTTTTAAATAACCTTAACAATAACATAAATTAAAATAGAATTTAGAGTAAATTTAAAGAATTGGAAAAAAAAGAAAAATTAGTTTAAAAAAAAAAAAAAAAAAAAAGAAAAATTTATTGGATACACAAAAATTATCAAATAAAAACGAGACACACACACACAGTTGTATATATATATATATATATATATATATATATATATATATATATATATATAGTTCGTTGAATATTTTTTTTTTTTTTAAATACATGTATTTGTATGTAATAATAGCTCAAAAAAACATTTTATTATTATTATTATTATTATAATTGTTTAAAAAAAAAAAAAAACGACTGCTTGAACGATGATAAACTTTTTTCGGTGGGAAAATTATTTTATCTTAAACTACTAAATTATTTGAAAATTTATTATTAATAAAGTTTTATAAATAATTAAGGGGAAAAAAATTTTTTTTGTTGCCAGAGATACTGATTTTTACTTAAATGAAAAAAAAAATTAATTTTTTTTATTTTTTATTTTATTAGGAATGATTAAGAAAAGTTATCTTACAGTTAACTATATAATTTTTATCTTATTATTATTATTATTATTATTAATAACTAAGACCCAAATAGTAGAGAAAAAATTTTAATTTTTTATTTATTGGTAAATGACCGAAAAGTACCAAACGTAAAAAAAAAAAAACTAACAAAACACAGAATAATAAATTAATTTGTAATTTGAGCTATTAGAATGAAACTTTTGCAAATCGACACAAATTAAATTTTTATTAAATAAATATTATAGATGATTACAATGTTTAGGGTAATTAAACAAAATATCATCTGCGAGGTTGATTATCGGTAATCATTGTTCTTCTTCTATCCCTTTCAAGTTCTTCTTGCCTCATCCTATCCCGAAACCTTTGCTCATCTTCCAGTTTAAGTCTGAACATAAATAAATAAATGCATAATAATAATAATAATAATAATATTTCGGTGGAATGCGTTTATAATTTTGATCCGGCGTTTTAAAAAATTTAAAAAAAAAAAAAAAAAAAAAAAGTTTTTTTTACTTACCTTGATTCGTGCATGGAAGGGTTGACGAGACCCATAGAAGAAGTCATAAGATTAGGCGACGGGTACCTTAATGAGTACAATGGATGCGTGAAAGGAGATGTTAAACCCGGATAAAGCGGCGGCCGAAACATTCCGCAACGTTCTAGATACAATTGTTCTTCTATTCTGCTTGAATAAAAAATTTTAATTGTAACACCCGTATAAACGCGTATAAAATAAGGCAAAAATAATAATAATAATAATACTTGTAGTTACCTATATGAGTGTTGCAAAGGCGCAGGGTAGAGAGCCGAATGGTATGAAGCATAAGCTGCCGATTGTAAAGACAAAGGGTAATGAAAAGGTAAACCAGTAGCCGGAACTCTTTCTCTGTCTTCAGACCTATAAGGCTGAAAACTGCTTCTACTCGGGGTAAATTTTTCATTCGTTGTGATTTCTTCCTATTAAAATAAGAAAAAAAATTAGATTTATCTCTGATACATAAAACAATTATAAATGAGGGGGAAAACGTTTGAATAAGTTTTACTATTAATTCATCAACAAAAAAAAAAAAATTAATCATCATTTATTTTACTTTTCTATGGGCGTGATCGTTTTCGGTAACAATATCAGACTCTTCATTAGGTCCAGCATTTTTGGCTAAATTACGAAGGGCAGCAGCAAAGGAACGACTTAAAGAACTTTGTGAATTCGTATTACTGCGACCTGGTATACCGGAACAAGTTACACTCGAACCCTTTGAAATTCTTATATTTCCTAAAATTTTTAAAAATTATTAAAATTTTGTGAAACAGAAAATTTAATTCAATAAGAAAAGTAAATGTCTCTCTGTATTTTACACATACCTGAATCTACTTTTTCAAGAGCATTACTTTTAGATGCAGGTACTGAATTTAATTTTTTTTCTATCATTTTTGGAGAACATATTTTTTTACCAACCCTCGTCAATCCGGGAGGTACCTAAAAAAAAAAAAAAACATTAAAATAAAAAAATATACATTTTTCATCAAACATAATACTTTTAAAAAAAAAAAAATTTTAAATGACTTACTACTTTTTCTGATCGTTGACCACTGGGTAATCGAGCCACCGCTGCTTCAGGAGAATCTTCGGGAGGAGGTGGTTGAATTATCCAATTATATTCCCTTTTATCTACTGGTAACCCCCAACGCTCGTACTCCTGAGATTGAGTTCTGAGAGTTTCGTAGCAATCAAGGCAGACGACTGCGAAATCTCCATTTTCAAGTAAAAGACTTTTTACCGGTTGTTTGTGGTCTCGCAAAAATGGAAAATCCTCGAAAAATAAATATTTTATGTTATTATTTTATTAGGTTAATAAAAATTTTCAGACATTCGCAATATTACATAATCCCATATTCACGTAAGATAAATAATTTTGAATAATGTTCAAATTCGAAGGAAGAAAAAAAAAACTTAAATAAATTATTACTTTGAAGATTTTAAAAAATCACGTTCGGTTTTACTTACTTTAATGGGTAGAGCTCTTACTCTTTTTCTATAAGTTGTTACTCCGCAGACGTAACAACAATAATCCCTTACATTATATTCTCTTTCATTTTGACTAGTATCTAAAATAAAAAAAATAATTTTTATTCGAGTTTATTTTAAATTAAATAATCAAATTTTTTATATTTATTATTTACTTACTAGAATTGGTTCCTTTATAATTTTTCCATTGAGTTAAGAGTGAATGATAACAAAATGTACAGACTAAAGCGCTTCCATCTTCTCTTAGCTGCTCGACATTGGATGCAGGTGTGTGATTCAAGAGAATTGGAAAATATGGGGCATTTCGACCCTAAAATATGTTATACGAATAATTCATAGTATTCGAATAGTTCAATTCATTTAGTACTGAAAATGAATCATTTACATATGAATTACCTGCGGCTTTGAGTATAATACCCTTGCCAACGTCAAATCAGAGTGAAATCCGCACAAATAACAATAAATAGAAGAACCCTGAGATCCAGGAGATGGAGGAGAAGAAGTGCCTTCTTTCCAATTTCCTGGAATTCCATTTGAAAGATTTGGACTAGGTAACTCGTATCTTAAAAGAAAAGAAATGTAATAAGTAATTAATAAAATAAATTTGTAATAGAGAAAAATTAATGTGATAAATCAAAATAAGTATTTTACCTTCTGTGTTCTAATGGTATTCTTTCGTTTTCCAACGATTCCCATTGCGAGGCCAAATGATTAAAGCATTTGCAACAAGCTAATATTCTCCCATGGGAATCCATACAGGAATTTTCAGATTTTCGAGATATTGCTCTAAGGCAAGGAAAATGCATAGCGTGAGAATTCATTCCCTCCGCAGAAGTAGACAGCCACTGCATTGAAGAAAGATTACATGTTGCAGCACAAATGTAACATCGGAAATTTTGCTGCAAAGACTTATCCTAAAATTACAATAAACATTAATATATGTATTTATTTCCAAGAGTGATATAAATAAAATTCAATCGTATCAATTCATCCTCACCTGTCCGTTTGAATCACAAAATTGAGTTTTAACATTACGAGAAGTTTCATTAGATTCAGAAGAATGACGTTGGAGATCATACGGTTTAAAACGAATGTCAGATCCAACTGATTGGTTCGATCCAGAATTATTACCTAATGGATTTGTAACTCTAGTGGAGGGAGATGGACTTTTTAAACCCATTCTAACGCTGCAGTTAATCGGGGAAGACTCTTCTGCAATTTATTCGTTTTTTAATTTATTTAAATAAAATACATGTAGCCGAAAATAAAATTTATTATTATTAATAATGATAATATTTCTGTACCCAAATTCGACATTTTATTAAAAACTTGGTGTTTTTGAGGTATTGATTTGTAGCAAATGCAGCACACTTGAACCATTCCCTGAGGAGATATGGGGCTAGCTCCGGGTGGTGGCTTTAAATTATTAATGAATGGAAAATACATTTCCTGTATTGTACAAAAAAAAAAAAAAAAATTTTTTTTTAAATTGTCATGTGTAATTTCCTTTGCGTGAAACGGCTCCAATAAAAATTTCAAACGCTCTTACCTTTTCACTATTTGGACAACAATATAATAACCTTATAGAACTCGAAGGATATTCTAATGCACAAGTATAACATATAAATGTTGTAGTATCAAGAGATGATGTCTGTCTTTTTCTTAAAACGTAATTTCTTTCCGAGTGATCTGTACCCTGAACACTATAAGCATGCCACTAAAAACAATATTTAAAACCAATATTATTGAGTAGTAATCGAAAATTTAATTATCGCTTAAAATTTTTTTTTATCTTTTTCTTTATAATTATTAAAACAGTAAAACATATACAAATAAATGCACATCAAACCTGCTGTAATAAATGACTTTGGCAAGCGGAACAAGCTTGAACATGTCCAGTTGAATCCATTGGTCTAGATCTGCTTGGCCTGGGGTGGAGCATTAAAGAAGGAAAAAATGGTTCTTGAATAGATCCTTTATCTGCTGCACCACCTTCTTTATTTTTTAGGTCTACTGGCATGGCTGATATGTTTGAAAGAGAACCACGACGAAATTCATCTCCGCAGACATAGCAAACTTCTGTCATTGAATTTTTATCTGGCATACTGAGATCTAAAATATCAGCAACCCGACCTGTTGGTTCAGAGCTGAAATAAGAATACCCAAAAAATTAAAGATAATTTTTATAAAAAAAAAAAAAAAAAAAAAAAAAAAAAGATAAAAATTAAATTGATTGAATTAAATAAAACTAAAGCTCACTTAAAAAAATTTAGAGCCTTGCTTGGCTCTTCAGACTTTAAACATTCTTTATTTATATTTCTCAAATCTAATGCTCCATTGACTACGCTTGGTACATCAGTAAATTTTTCAACAAGCTGAGGTTGAGAAGATGTAGTAATACCAACTTCATTTCCAGAAGAAGGCCTATTTATTTCTCTGAAAAAGAATTTCAATGTTGCATAATATAGAAATTTTTTAAATTTTTATCGAATACAGAAATTTATGTATTAAAAATATATATATATATATTTAAATTACCTTTGCAAGTCTGCAGAAAGTCCTAATACCTGTGAAGCATATTCCCCTTGTAAACCCATATTGGCTCCAGTGTAAGGCATACCATCAGTTCTTTTTAGCCAATACAGCCTTCTCCCATGTGGAGTATTTTCTTTTTCGTAATTTTCCCATTGTTGCATTAGAAGAACATAACACAAATAACAGCATTTAACCTTTAAAAAAATTTTTGAATGTAATAATACAATAAAAATTTTACCTAACTCGAGGAAGTACATAAAATTTAAAAAAAAATTTTTTTTTGAACCTGATTATCAAAAATTGGTTCCTTATATTTTCTAGGTGGTTCATGAGTTTCCAAAAAAGAAAAATAAGGTTCATTAGAGGATGAAATAGGTTTTATGTTTAGCACATATTTATTTGAATGCCTTATGCCACTGCAAACATAGCATACTTCCTCAAATGTATCATCTTTATTATCCATAATTTTTCTAAAATAAACAAAATAAAAAAAATTTTTTTGGTTGGCTTTCATAAATTTTTAAATTAAAATTAACACTATTAAAATATCGCACAAAAATTGTAAAAGTATTATTGTTAAAATAAATATGCACTTGTGTAAACACTCTCAAATAAAAACAGAATATATAATTAATAAAAGACATGTTTTAAACAAATTATTAGCTCCTTGGGTTGATTTCATTAATAATTATGACATTTATTCTCCTGCACAATTATTCCAAGTGTTGCATTCTTTGTATAAAAAAAAAAATAAAAACTCCTGGATGCTTTGAAAAAAACACTTTGATATTTTGACAATTCTAATTTTTAAAAACTACTACATAAATATTACAATAAATTATAAATTTTTTTTTTTTTTTTTTTTTTTTTTATGGGATACTAATTGTTTGAATAAATCTATGGCAAAAAAAAACTGAATTTTAAATAGGATTAAATTTACAAAATGCCATACCAGTTTTTTACAATTTTTTATGAAGTATCTATATATGTTTAATTACAATAATGAGCAAATATTCACTCACACTCACACGCACAGACATATATATATATATATATATATATATATATATATATATATATATATATATATATATAAATACATACATATAGTCATAAATATTTATAATTTATTTTTGTTAGCGAGAATTAATAGATATTTAGGTAAAAACATTCAATTTCTTAATAAACATATAACGTTACTGTGAATTTACACTAAACTAGTACTAAGCTTTTCTTAAAACTTTATAACTTATTTTTTTGTAAGTAATTTAATAAACTTGTATTTATATTCAAGAAAAATTTTCTTAGGAGACAAAGAGCTATAACCAACATTATCAGATCAAAAATATAAAGGTTTTACTAACAAATGGTAAGATCTATTTTAAACCCGCAGCTCAGCTGTACATAGTAAGACTTGGATCAATCAATTATAATTCATTTTAAATACGACAAGTAACGATCTAAACTACAAAAACACCTGCCAAGCGGCCATAAATGAAAATTCATTGTTACCAACAAATTTACTGTCTAAGCAGCCGCAAATTTTTATTTAACCTAATTATTTACTCTGTGAAATACGAAAAAAAGAAAAAGAAAAAAATTTAATTTTTCAATAAAAATACTCGATTTTTTTATTGTTTTTATTTAGTTTTTATGATAATCTTTCCTCTTAAATTTTTTTAAAAATTCAATAATAGCCTATTTATTATATTAAATATACAATGCTATTTTAGAACAGTTTCCTTTATTATCGATTTTAAATTTTCGCGGCAATTGTTTATCTTTTTTCAATAAAAATTCAATTAATATTTTTTTTAAATGTTACAACCCAACCTGAAAAAAACTCCCTTAAAATTCCCGTATTGCCGACAACTTTACTGGTCATGAGCAATTTTACGTTTTTTCCGATTGTGCAAAAACATTTGCGTGGTACAAATAAAATTGAAATGAAAGTTTAAGAAAAAAAAAAATTTTTTTTTTTTGGTATATGAATTGTATTGATCAGAGTATGTCTTTTTCCCTTTAAAATCTCCTTGTCAAAAGGGGTGATTAAATAAACTCATTTTTTTTTTTTTTAATCTGGAATTACTTAATTAAATAATAGAAAAATTTTAGAATTTAAATATACATATACATATATACTGGCTTATAAAGAAATCACATAAATATACTTTTATGAAAAAAAAAAAAAACTTTAATTTTAAAAAAATGTTTTACAATACAAGTTTATTCTGACTCCTTTGATTTACATACAATCCTTCTTCCTGTCAAATCATATTTTTTATCATCATTGACTTCAGAGCCACTTGAACTATGATCGGAATCATCAGAACTTTCGACATAGTTGCAAAGGCTTGGCAAAATACCAACACAAGTAAGCCCAGTCCTGAGAATTGGAATCTGTGAAAAACATCTTATTGTTAAAAATAAATTTTTTTTTTTTATTTTGAGAAAAAGAGTTCAATTCTAACTTATTTTTCCTTTTTTTTTACATTAAATAAAAACCTAAACACATATACTAATTGAAAAAATTTTTTTAATTTATCTGAATAATAACGATAATATTTCACAATTTATGTAAATTTTTGAAATTAAATGTAAAGAAAAAACAAACCTTTTGACTTCTTTCCTCAACATCAGAATCATTTATTTTTCTTTTTTTCTTTATTTCATTATTATCTGTTTCTGAATATTCATTTATTTTTTGATTTTCATTAGGGATTGATTTTCTTTTAATTACACCTTTCAATAATTCACCTTGAGATTTAATTCCTGAGCTAAAATATATATACATGTATGATGTGTATCATGTTTTAAAAAAGAAAATTTGTATATAAATACTTTCAAACAATAAACTGCTATATTGGTTTTTATGTTTTTAGAACTTTACAAAATATCATTGGTACCTGTTTGAATTGTTGCTCTTGCATGTACGAATCTCTGCTTGCATTCTCTGATTAAGAGTAGCTTCCTTAAGTTTTTCAACTTTAAGTTTAAAATCTAAAAGTTCTTGTTTTTCTTCTAAATTCTTAAGTTGTTCTGCTTTCATTTTCTTTTCATCAACTAAATCAAGAAACTCAATTTCATCATCATCTAAACCCTTAACCATATTTTCTGAAAAATGAAATGATTACTATAATTATAATTACTATTTATTTTTATTTTTTTTAAAAATCATTTTAAATATTCATTGCAAAATTGATAGTTTTGATAATTGAAAATTGTGTCACAGTGTGTAATCATTTAAATTTTTTTTTGAACTTGTAATGATTATTGTAATCACCCTTCGGCATTAAAAAAAAAAAATCCCAAATACTATATTATTTATCACTGGTTGACAATATTGTGAATGATTATTTCAAAATCAAATTAATTTTATTAATTTAAATTTTTTGTAATATTATTACCCTTTGTATCTATTATTAAAGACACTTAAAATAATTAAGATTTTCAAATGGATAATATTATTGAATAAAACTTACTCAGTCTATGAGCTTCTTCAAATTCTAATTGCTTTTTTTGCTTTTGTTCTTCTAAGCGCTCGTACAAAGACCTGTGGTCAACTGGTTCCTCTGGCATCTCTATAACAAAAAAATTACAGTATTAATATGAATTTATACTCATGTGTTAGATTGTTTATTTACAATATTTTTATTTAAAATTAAAAATAAATAATTTAAAAAATTTGTATTCATGCATCTATAAAGAATGACCAAGCCAAAAAAAAAAAAAAAAAAAAATTGAATTACCCAAAGGTTGATGAGGTTTTCGTACTTTTTCCCATTCTTCCTGTCTTATCCTACGCTTTTCGGCTAATTCACTTTCTGAAATAAATCCAGAACTCATTGCAATTTTTTTAACATTTACTAAATAACCTTCTTAAATTTTATTATGATAAATAATTAAGTAAAATATGGAATGAATATTTATCAATTGTATTTTAGAAAAACCATTGAAAATATTGTCACGATCATGATGAACACGCTAATAATCAAAAATAAAAATAAAAAACGTATCTACTTGCACCGATTATACTTATTATTTTCTTTTTTACTTTAAATCATAATAAAATTTTAACAATATTTTATGTACTCTATGACATTGCTGATAGCAAATTTTTTACCGCAATCTTGGAAAAATTTTTTAAAACTTACCTCAAAGAATAATTCAATTGAATAACAATTTTATAATTTTATAATTTCAAAATTTACTTTAAAAATAAACATTCATAAATTTGTGAAGAAAACTTTTTTTTTTTTTTTTTTTAAGTAACATATTATGAACTTCGTTTGTGTTTCTTAAAAAGTATTTTTGCGCGATTTGACGACAGTACTAATTGTAATTCCTAATTAACATTAAAAAACTTTATCCTGGGGCCACGTACAAATATATTGAGCTAAAAGAAAATTTTGAAATGACAGATAAAATTATAAAAACGATACTGAAAAAGGAATATGTTAAAATATTGAGTGTTATATTACAATCGGAACTGAACGGAATTATCATCGAAGAGAATAAAGAAAATAAACCAGAAGAATGTCAGCTTGCAATTTATGATAGAATGGAATACTTTGGATTTTAATAAGAAGAGCACGGACAACTGGTTAAGACGTGGTAAGTTAAAAATTGAAATAAGAGTTTATTACAGCTGCACAAGACCAGGCATTGCGGACCTATAATTATGAAAAGGTAATCTTCAAAATCCGTCGAAATGACATGTTTCGAATTTGTTAATCACAGTCGGAAACAATCGACTATTTAATATCCGAAAATTGTCAAAACATTAATATTTAAGATGGCACAATAAAATCTGTAAATATCTCTATTGGAATACATGTCGTGAATACGAAAGAGGGGCTAGCCAAAGAATGGTACAACCATATTCCAACCCCCGGTTACGACAGCGGGTCCATGCACAGTTCTGTATGATCAACAAATCCACATCGACAGAACTGTGCCAGCCAACAAACCGGATATTATCCTGCGACATAATCCCGAAAAATGGTGACAAGCTAATTGAAGTTTCCGTACCCTAGCAAAAAAAAGCTAAAATATAGGAATTCAGAGATTGAAATAGCCAGGATGTGGGGAGTAAAAACAGAAACTATTCCGGTCATAGTGGGAACAAACATTAGGAGCCATGACTCGTACATTGAAATAAAATTTTCTAGAATTTAAAAGAAAGAAACTGTACAGGAAATGACATTATGTGGAACGGCTTTCGGAAAATATTATAAATAGTATTATAATTGATATTCGAGAGCATTTATTCCAAAGGAATCGGATAGAGACCTGGAATAAATGCTTAAAAAACTACTCCGACGGAATCTTGTCGTGTACAAAAGTTAACATAATAATAATAATAATAATAATAATAATAATAATAATAATAATAATAATAATAATAATAATAATCGTTCAAGTTCAAAATCTCCAAATTATTTATTTATTCAGTTTTATTTTTTTTTCACAATATCTTCAAAATATCATTTTTTATCATTTTTGGATTTATCTCTTGGAGGAATATCTGGTGGCAATATATCTTGCCTGGCTAATTTGGCACTATTTAACTGGGGTAAATGCTTAGCGTTTATCGTTTCGTCTAAGGGAGGAATTGTACCCTTATAAGGTGCAAACTGAGGAAGTTTAGAAACGTCGGCTCCCATTTTAAAATTTGGAAAAATCGGTGCTGGTTCCGCTTTAACAATTTTTCCATCATAAGATAAAAATTTATCCATTTTAAGGGGATAATAAAATTCTTTTTTTTCGTCGGCCATTGCTATTTCATCTGAATTAAAATCTAAAAATGATAATTATTTTTTTATTATTATTATTCTCATTTTTTTTTTTTTTGCGTGATAATTATGTTATAATCGTTCCTATAAAAATTTTTTAATAAGAATTATTATGTGCCCTTAAAAGAGAGACTTTTTCATTCAAAAAATTATTATTATTTTTTTTTTTTAATATAAATATACAAATATATATGTAAAGAAAAAGTTTTTCCAAGATTTAATGATGACGAATGAAATAAAAATAATTTATTCATGTTTTGATTTGTGAAGTGAGAAAGAAAGAGAGACAGAGAAAGAAAAGAGAGAGAGAGAGAGAGAGAGTCAAATGTTGGAGACAAACGTCGTACCTTGAAATATATATTTATTGGAAAATCCATCTAAACCACCGGAATGTTTATTTACTGCCAGTAAATTTTTTTGAAATTCATAATTTCTTTTTTTTACATTTGGTACTAAATTAACTTCTGAATTCTGTCGAATACCACGTTGGCTTTCATATTTTTCCCTTAATCTGGATTTATTTACTGGCAAAGATTTCAAAGCATAATTTTTTTCTTTTATATTAACTTCTTGTAATAAATTATTTTTCGAATGAATATCTGTTGTTTTCAAATATTGATAAGACGGAAAACTCTGCTGAACAACTACGTCTTCGACAGGCTTATCATTGATGCTGTACAAAGACAAACCAGGAACCTGATTCAGTTTTGAAAATTTAAATAATTTTTCATCTTTATTTAAAAAATAAAAAAATAATAAAAAATGATAAATAAAACTTTTATGTTGAGGTTATTCATATTCAAAAAAGTTAAATTAAAATCTTTACATTATTTTACCAGAAAAAAAAAAAAATCATTACGAAAACTTTCTTACCCCAATAAGTTTATTATTATTATTATTATCTGTTTGTTTATTATCCTTATCGGCGCTTTCGAATTTGAAGTCGGATTCAAAAGTGCTACGACCAGATCTTGTTTGATTATTTGATGAATACAAAAGTTTAGGATTTCCTTTA